GTCTTCAATGAATAAGTGACCAAATTATTTAGCGACCACTTTAGCGACCACCTCATCGGTCGCTATTTAGCGACCGAAATGTAAATCGGTCGCTAACACATTAGCGACTTGCCCTTTTGCGACCAACCATTTCAGTCGCTAACAGATTAGCGACCGATTTTTGGCCATTAGTGACCGATTTTTTCGGTTGCTAATACCGTTTTTTCTTGTAGTGAAAGAAACAATAATTTTATTATTGGCCTAAACCTTTTATCACTTTCTCAAATCACTCTCTTATTCTCCTCATATGAAGTAAATGTAATTTCACTTAAAAAACTCCTATAAAAAGATAATTATTCAAGAAAAGGAAAGAACTAAAAAAAATGATTTAATCTGAATAAAATTAACAATCCACAACAAAATCAATATTAAAAAAAAATATGTAAATTCAAATTCAACCGCATCCGACAAAATTGTAACATACCTTATTATAATAGACTAAAGAAAAAGTGAAATAGCTAAAAAAAAAATAAAGAAAAATTGTTTAAGGATATGATATCCCCATATCATGTAATAATTTATGTCTCAACTCAATCATGCTATTGGGATATTTAATATTTGAAAATATCCTTCTCCCACGATGACCCGACAACTGAAAAACTATTTATGAAACTAAATCATGCTTGGAGTTATTTGTTATTTAAAAATAAAATAAATAAAGTTCCCTTTTGGATAGTGTGATTCTATGACAAGGAATGGATGATATCATCTATTAATTAAAGGAATGACATGAGTCATTTTAAAAAATAAGTCTTAAAAAACTTATTATTATTATTATTTCCTATTTGTTAATGTCTAGGACCAAAATAATCCATTAAAACATGATATTATTTGGTAGAGCTAAAGTCATGTTAGCACCACTTTAGTTAAAAAATAAAAAATGAAAACCAAAAGTGTGATACATAGCACGAGTTCAACCAAAATAAATAAAAAAATTGTATTGAAATTGTACAAAGTTACACAACTCGTAGAATATAGCACGAGTTCTTCGTTATGAAATTGTATATCCAAATACGATTTGATTTTCTTTAATAAAATATTTTGAAATCGACCTTATATGTTCTTTCAAAAATCTCATAAACCTAACCTACATGACTTAAAAGTTTTGTTGTTGTCTTGTTTATGCCTCAACTCTTGTTATTGGAAGAACAAAGTTAGCTCATCGAGCTTTTAAATATATTTTTCTTTTATATAAACTTGACACTAAAGGATATATGATCTTTACAATTAACATTCCAAATGTTTTTTTTTTCTTTATTTAGGAATGTTGTTTTTTCATGAAACTATATTCTGATTTTCATAAATTTTCATCATCTAACTTTGATGTCATTCTCACTGAATCAAATGTTAGTTTTGTATAGTATGAACTTTGTCCCTCTCCCATGATTGTTTTGAAATCACTAATGCACACATATTTTGGTGAACAATTACAACAACTTTAACAGAAGAAATGCAAGTCATTCTTGTGCAGTTGAGGGTTTCAATAATATAAAAGTTTAGACCTAATTACCTAGACTAGTGTCATTGTTCCAATGCCACTTCTTCTAATTTTATTTTTAATTTTGCTTGCCTTTACTACATTTATTCCTATCTTATAATAACTACACTATTTTTTGTCTTTCTATCTTTGCACAGGGTGAATCTTCAAATTGCACACAAGCTATTATTCAAGATTCCTAAAACTGAATTTGATGCTTTGATTCAAAACGAACTTGGTCTTTGGTTCCAATTCCTCCTAGCAAGAAGTTGATTGGATGCAAGTGGGTATATAGAATTAAATATAAGGTAGATGATTTTGTTTCTATGCATAAAACCCATTTGGTAGCCATGCCATTCACTCAAATCGAAGACATACATTATTTTCAAACTTTCTCACCAGTTGCTAAATTGACTACAGTAAAATTTTCCCCGGCTCTAGCTTCCACTAACAACCGGCTTCTACATCAACTTGACCTAAATAATGTCTTCTTACATGAAATTTTAGAGGGAGAGGTTTACATGATGCCTCCTCAACTACTACAATTACTCAATTCTAAATTTGTTTGCAAATTGAAAAAGTCATTATTAAGCGTAAAACAAGCTAGCAAAAATTGGAATAAAAGATTGAATTCTAACTTACATAATTTGGGTTATAAATAAAGTCTAGCTTATTATTCTTTGTTCATCAAGAAAAAAGGTTCTTCAATCACAATTATGCTTATATACATTAATGATGTTGTTTTGAATGGTAATTATTTTCCAGAAATGGAATTTGTTAAACATCTTCTCCAAAAATTTCGGATTAAAAACCCTCGTTCTTTACAATTTTTCTTTGGTCGTGAAGTGACTAGATCTAAGAAGGGGATCATTTTTTAAATCAAAGAAAATGTTGTTTGGAACTTATTGATGAATACGGTTTACTTAACTATAAAATAGCACCTACACCAATTGAGATCCTGCTGTGAAATTGCATGATGACCATGGTTCCCTCTTAACTTATCCAACTAGCTTCAAAAGACTAATTGATAGATTACTCTATCTTACTAACTTTTTCATTCAATAACTAAGTCAATTTGTTTCTCAGCCCTATGAACCATATTTACAAGAAACCTTGAAAGTTATTAGATACCTTAAAGGAGCAAACCCTTGGTTTGTTCTATCTAGAATTCAAGATTTTTCTAATTCAAATTAGGCCACTTGTTCTACCACCAGTAAATTTGTCATAGGTTATTGTGTTTTCCTTAGAAAATCACTTGTTTCATGGAAATCAAAGAAGAAGTCTATTGTCTCAAGATCTTTCTATGAAGTTGAGTATAAGCCTTTAACTTCACTTACTTGTAAACTCTAATAGTTGATATTTTTGTTTGATAGTTCTTTTATCAAGATTTCAATCTCATTTGTTGTTTTCTCGTTAAATTGATATAAATTCTATCTTCCGTAAAAGAACAAAACATATTAAAATGGATTGTCATAAAATTCGTATCAAACTTCAGAAAAAATTAATGTATCTCCTTCATGTTTCTTTAGCAAATTAGCTTATTGATGTTTTCGCCAAGTCCCCGTATTGAATGTTTTTTCTTCATTCTATCTCCAAGTTGAGTTTATCTAATTTACATAACCCAACTCGAGAATGAGTATAAGGATTAATGAGACTTCTCTCATTAGTTTTGCATAATTAGAAGGATTAATGAGACTTCTTTGATTAATTTTGTATAATTAGTTAATTTGTTAGAATAGTTATCATGATTTGTTAATTAAATAAGAAAATTATTTGATGATAAGTGAAAATCTATACAACTTATTTTTTATATAAGTTGTCATTATATTCTTTATAGTATGATTAGAATAATACAATTTAATTATTTATCTTATATTATTTTCAACACCTTACCTTCTAACATTAAGCTATAGATTAAAATACTTGAGATTATACTCTCATATTTAAATTAATAAAAATAATAATAAAACTAATATAAAATATGAATAAAATACAAAACTTTATATTATCTCTTATATAAACAATTATTATTCATGAAATATTTTTTTAAAAGTTAATTATTTCTTCTTCTTATTATTATTATAAAATATTTTTTCTCTTAAAAGAATATTTTGAGTGTAAATATTTATAATAAAATTGTTATGATTAATCACCTTGTTTTATGTTAAAATTTTAAGTTATCTCATAATTATTCTTAAAAATGTTTCATTTAACAAGAAAAAAATATTTATAGACTATTTTTTAATTTGTACTCTTTGCAGTAATCTTGAGGATATAAGATTTTTTAGCATAATTAATAATTATTATATAACTAATTTGGGGTTACAAAACCTATTCTAAACATTTTCGGATGTTAATGAAATCCTATTTAATTAAATAGCAAAGTCAATGGAATAATTGTCTAACCTATTGTGCAGAATGATATAAAAGAGGCATTCGAGAACCTTCAATCATTGTTGAGATGAATGAGACACTAAATAATATTGTATCAAAGACCCAACTTGAGGTCTGTTATTTAACCCTTGCAACGTCTCTTCATATAAAGCCATTACAAGTTGTTGATAGCTTAAGTTGAGTGTTATGGGCTTGAGTGAAACGACATAAAATCAGTATATTAACTCCTTTCCCATCACTCTTGTACGCTTTTGGGATCACATTTGTGTTTGTGAGTGTTTTTCATTTTCTTTTTGCGCTCTACTTTGTTTGAATCATCTTATGTTTCTGTAAATCAGCCTATTTACTGTGTTCTTTGAGACTTGTTGAGTGTAACACTACACTTCATGTTTCATACGGGCCCATTGCTGGAGTTACAACTTGATGACATTCTTGGTACTAGGAAAAAACTACTTCACTAATTCCAACAAGGGTCTCTGTCAAAAAACTAAATTAATAGAAGGTATCTGCAGAACAATTGCCACATAAACCTTGCTGCATGCCAATGACGCAACATATTTAATGCTAAAATTTAGAATAGTTGTCCTTGGTGCATAACTATGACAAGTCTATTTAACCGTATAAGCAGAAGTGAATATTGTATTTGACATAAGACAACGAGACATTGCATAATGAGACTGACACCTATGTTCTGTCATCTTTCTCTTGTATTCATTTATGGAAATTGGAAAATTTCAAATGTAGTAGTGTAATATGATGCAAAAGAAAGTTCAAAGTCAAGGAGTGAAACAGCTTTTTCCACTGTGGTTTTAAGTATTGCCACTATAATTAGAATGCCATAAAAGAAAAAGAAATTGCAAAGTGGAATGGGGGTAGATACCATTAATTGGTCATTGAACACCATCACCAGAACCAAGTCGCTTGAGCAGAGTTCTACCCACCCCATATTCCCTAATTTTATTGTGCTGAGGACCACCAGGTCCACCACCATATAAAGATGTTAACAAATGAGATGATTAAGGCAATCTTTTAACTTTTTGGCCCAAGCTCTGCATGTTCTGTACTGCCCTTTAAGCTTCTCTGAAGTGCTTTAACAAGCAGTCCAGAACTCTGCCCTTTTCACCTTTGAAATACTCTCAAGAACTGCCACTGGTGAAATGTGCCCCATCACTGTCACCCTCTTAGACTCTACATCTATACTGAATGAAGTAACTCCTGAAATTGCAGTTTTAAACATTTTAGAAGAACCCTTTCAAAAAGATGTTAGAACCTCAAGTTTAATTACTAGTCATTTAGCTGAACCCCAAAACAGAAATTCCCACTTAATAAGATACATTCCTATATGTATTTTATTTCAGAATACAAAAATATATGATGCTGAAGTGTTACATGTATATTTTTCTACTTTTTACCCTATCATCAAGGGTATATAACTAGTATTGATGAATACCTTCCATCTTAGACAGATGTTTTTTCACCTTTCCAGCACATCCTTGACAATGAATTGCAACTCGCATCACAACCACCTGCATTTAACACCCTTCAATAATAACACTTCAAATATGATTGAGTACACGTGAAGTGTGCAACATTTTGTTGTAGTATGTCACAATCAATCATAGAGAGATTTGAATATGAGATTCCATTATTCCGTTCAAAATTTAATAAGTGAGTGTGACCATATGCTCTAGCACAAACCTTCCTCGGTGGCAAACTAGAAAGGAAAAAGAAAAAATAGACGTTTTTATAGAAGGGTTATTTTATGTATAAGGGACAAAACTCGACGTGGCCTCTGATAATACCATCCATATTCATGTGTATTGTTCCCTAATAAAATTCCCATTTGCATAAAAAGGACATAATCATTCTGCTTTGTCTGTAGAATATGCATGGGACTCGGTCAAGTAATATGCATGTGAGACATCTTGAAACCTCTGCAAATGACAAATATGAGGAGGACAAATAATGGGGATCATTTGTTTCCTTCTTGAATCCACCTGACACTAGTGGTTGGTACAGTCCTAGATTTCTCTTAATCTAACAAATAATCAATTAAAGGAAAAAATGGATCAGACTCTAGTGAGTTGTGTTGACCCAATAGCAACTGTAGCTGAAAAGCTAACAATACCAACATTTATGAATCATATCAGTCTACAATCCAAACTCTACTTTCATTTCATATATAGCTTCTTTATGGTCCTGGTTTTGATTATGACATACATCATTTTGATTACTTTCTTGATTATCAGATAAATGTAGTTTTCTACCACACTTCTGGTATTGTTTGATTGCTTCAATAACTTAAATTTAATACTTTGAACAACTACTATACAAGATCTACTCCATTTCCCTGATAAGTTGGTGTTATGAAGGCAGAAAGCATGAAGAAGTGCAACATAAGAACCTTCATGAATTTGCAAGATAATAAATTCAATAACAAAAGAAAACATGTTGGTGACAGAATGACATTTGCATCTCACCAAGTGAAGGAGAACAATAACAAACCTGAAAGGCATTATTATCTGTCTGTGTTTTCAAAAGCTCCCTTGGTTCATTTTTGGCTTGATCTTGATCCTGCCCTCTAAGCTTGATCTTTGGAACTGGATTAGACCTTGGAGGCTCAACAAGTTTGGAGTACTTGGCATAGTTGATCAACCTTGTATCATCAAGAAACACACTTCTTTCCAACCTCCTTGGCACAACCACAGATCGAGGGTCGCGAGTGCTCATGCACACAGCTGTTGAAGCCTGAGAGTGGCACATGAAACCTCTTCTCATTTTCCAGTCACTGCTTTTCAGGCTCATCACAGGTTACTACAACACAGATATGAAGAGTGGAAACTGTGGAAGTTTTGAAGGCAACAAAAGAAGAGGTGTGGTGTGCAAATATTATACAGCTGCAATGCTAATGCTGGCTTTATGAGTTGGAGAGAAATAGAAGAAAGAAAGTGACACACATGCTGTCATTAGCTAACTATAGGTTACTGTGGGTGTAGAAACAGTTTTGGCAATTTATCTATATTATGCAGATACACAGGACGTAACTGTCCAAAATCATGTCCTTGTCAATGTTTAATGCCAAGAAATTGCAATAACCTTCTTTTGCTATGAAGAAAAAAGACATCAAACAGAAGCAAGTTAATTCATTAGGGTAAAAATTAGGCACAAACATAATGAACATGGGGTTTTGTGTTTACTTTGCCAAAAAGAAAAAAATAATAATACTTTGACTAGATAATCAAACTGGTTTTCAAAAGTTATAATGGATATTGATTTCAATATTTAACTATTTCTTCAGTTATTCCCCTGCATTATAAGTAAAAGAATATTAACAACTTACTTTGAAAAAACTAATGAAAATACCCTTTGTTTGGATGAAGAAAGTTGTCTTTAGAGCAATATATTTTTGGTAGAAACTTGGATATCCTTCAAAGAGATAAATAAATTCAAAATTGCATTTATTAATTGGAATGAACTAACGGTGTAAAGTGATTGAATTATGAATTTTTATATAATTAAAAATATTATTTTATAATAAAAATAATGATAATAGTTTTAAAAGTTATATCTAATTAAATATAATTAATTGGTCAAGTAGTGCTTTTTTTCATTAAATAAAGTCTTAAAAACTAAATAAAAAAATTGTGATGATCTCCTTTGAAAAACAACTTTCACTCCAACACGTATGATAACCTAAGTTTATCTATCTAATATATTTTTTAAAATAATGAAATTCGGAAAATATTGATAATAAAATAATAAAGACTAACATGCTTGATTTACATTATATCTAACCATAATTAAGAAAGATATAAACTATGGTTCGGGTATCCAATTTTTTTAACCGTTTCTGTTTCTATTCTCATCTTCGATCCCTACTAGGATTAAAAATTAAGTCCCTATCATGTTGGATTTTGGGTTTTTCTTACCAGTCCATCTTTGATCTATATTATTTTGAAAAAAATAATTATATTTATAATAAATTAATTTTATTATTTTTAATATATATTTTACATAAATAAATATTTATAATTTTATAATTTATAATTATTATTAATTAAATATATATTTTAATTTATTTTATTTATATTAAAATATGTATGTAAAAGAAACATTTAATTATTTTTTCTATATATAAATGTAAAATATTTATTATATTATTATTATTATTATAATACTGTATTCAAATATTTTAATATTTACTATTATAATAATAGTATTATTATTATAATATATTTAAACATTTGATTATATATATAAGTTAACTTTTTTTAGGTTGTTATTTTAAAATATGAAATGTATAAGTTATAAGAAAATATTTAATAAGTTAGTTCTTATTTAATTAGTTCAAAGTAATAAAAATTTAAATTATCAATTTTTTAATCTTTTAAAATATAATTATTTTATTAAGATAAAATTTGATATATATGACAAATAAGAATAGTAAGATAAAAAAAATATGATATAATAAAACATAATAAAGATAAATTATAAATAAAACAATATTAGTTACTACTAATATTTATGTAAAATATTTAGAAGAAAAAAAAGATAAAGAATAAGAAAAATTAACTGTGTTTATCAAATTAGTTGAAAAGATTGAAAAAAAAACAAATTAATTGGAACAATTAAAGAAATGTAGAAAAATGAGATGAGAAAGATAATAATAATAATGAATTAATTGATATAAAATATTAAAAAAGACAAGAATTAAAAAGTGAGTAAAAAATAATAATGATAACATATAAAAAAATTACCTTATATGTAATGAAAAAAAGAAAAGAAAATACTTTTAAAATATTAATATTTTAGAATTTAAATTTAAATATAAAGTCGGAGCGGGAACCAAATAGGATCGGGATTGCAATACCTATCCCAGCCATCGGTGGATCTTCTTGGGAGCTGAGGGCCGTGACCCCCAAAAGTTTTGTAACTTTCATGTAATTTATGATTTTGGCCCCCCAAACTTAATGAATATTTAATATATTTACTTATTTATTTACATTTTTATCCTCTCAGCCCTCCTCGAGTTTTATAACTCTCATATAATTTATTATTTTGTCCCCCTCAAACTTAATGATCATTTAATATATTTAAGTATATATCTACAATTTTATCTTTTTAACATTTCATCTTCTTTTTATTTATTTATTATTTATTAATAATATATTATTTGACCCCCTCAAAATCAATGTTCAAGATCCGCTAGTGTCCCGCCTTCATCAACTTAATTTTTCCCTCTCAAACTCAGGTTGAAATATATCAGTTCCTACGAGTTTAATTGTGATTCTTAAAGTATGATTTCAGTGCTTAGAATATCACAAAACCTAATTAAAAATTAGGACAACAATTTAAGGATGACCATTACTTAACAATAGGACAAAAATACTTAAATAAACTCATAATTTAAGGGTGACAATATATATATATATATATATATATATATTAATCAACTTTTATTTCGTATTTATTTATAAAATTTTGACCGTAAATTCAAATATATTATCAAGTAAATTTTTTAAATGATGTGAATATCATTCAAATATGTTATGTAAAATTTTTAACGACAAGAATAAATACCATAATATTTATATATATTGTTATATACCCTATGGGTCAATTTTTGTTTGAGAACATCAACAACCCGTATTCATGTTAAGATTTACCTAAAATACTTGGTAAAAATTTAATTAGTTTGATATTTAATGAATGATAATAGAAATTGATTAATTTGTCTACTTGAAAAAGAATAAAATTGATAAAATGTAGGTTATAAAATAATTTTTTCACTTCTAAATAAACTCAACTAATATTAAATATTTTAGTATGGGGTGAGTTAGACGAGGACGAAATTGGAACCTTTTACAAAAACAATACACTACTTGCAGAATGAGCATTCAACGTCGGGTGTAGAAGGCTTTCAACGTCGGTTCCAATGACGTCGTTGAATGTCAAAGGATTCTACGTCGGTTCAGAATACCCGACGTTGAAAGTGTTAGACATCTACGTCGGTTAAACAAATGTCCGACGTAGAAATGAGTAAATTCTACGTCGGTTATTGAACTAACAGACGTTGAAAGTCCTTTCTCGCTCAAGCGGCCGGTGTACTCGCTTGAGCGACGAAGCCTTCAAACAAAGAGGACTCTCGGGTGCTGTTTCGCTCAGCGAGTACACGGTCGCTTGAGCGAGAAAGGACTTTCAACGTCGGTTAGTTCAATAGCAGACGTAGAATTTACTCATTTCTACGTCGGACATTGAACTAGCCGACGTTGAAAGTCCTTTCTCGCTCAAGCGGCCGGTGTACTCGCTTGAGCGACTAAGCCTTCAAACAAAGGGGACTCTCGGGTCTTTGTTTCGCTCAGCGACCAGACGTTTCGCTCAAGCGGTCGACGTTACAACGTCGGTTAATGCAATAACAGACGTAGAATATCCCTTTTTTTAAAAAAATTTTGTTCTGTTTTTGTGCTACCATACACGACCTGCTATAAATCTCAGTCCGAAATCTCGGTTCAGCCAGATTTACACAATATATACACAATATACAAAAATCTCAACCAGGTCTTTTCACCTAATCACTATATATTTACACAATACACAAAAATCTCAGTCCAACCACATTATGTACATAATACACAAAAATTATCAATCAATCCTATTATTCCTAACTACTTGTACAAACTTTTTTGCCCATTTGTTTCTAACCATGTCTATAGTATCCATAGGCAAATGTTCTATATCTTTAAATGCACTGTAAGAAGTTCACAATAATAGAATGGTAAACCCTAAGCAATAAAAATAAAGGAATTGAATATAATAGCAAATGTCAACTTACCTCGTCCCAACTATCACTGAATGCTACCAAAAATGATGAGCCACATCCAATACATTACATAGTAGCCGCACTTCGTAGCCTCCATTTTGTTTGTTACACTAAAAATGAGTAAATATGTTAAAAATAACTATTAAATTTGAACGTAAATTAATAGATAGTATAATATATATAAAGACTACTTACTTTGATAAAATTCCAATTTGGAGTCTGTGCTTTTACTTGTGTGTTTTCCATCTAATATACTACAAACCTTTAAATCACTATATATTGAAAAGAAGGGGCTTAGAAATAGAATAATCAAGATGTTTAGACATAATATAATAAATACTTACTCGTTTACAATATTTTTTAGCTCCATGTCCGGTTTTCTTCCCAATGAGCAGAACCAACACACAAGATTCTGCTTTGGACAAATAACTAATAGGCTGCCAGTGGTTTACGTATATACACATGATTAGAATCTATTAAAAAAACTTGTGTAAAACCAGAAGAAGTTCGGGATAACTTACGAATGATGGTATGCTCCAAGGTAAATATCTCTTTTAGAAAGCAGTCATCCAATTCTGCATGTAGCGAGAATTTGATCACGCTTATTCCCAGACTTTTGTATGGATTGAGGCTCGAAGAATCCATACACATGACCAATGCCACTGCTCCACTATCATTTCGTGCATCATCCTAAAATATGCCAATTTAATTGAACTTATAGCTTATATATTTACTAAAATGAAAAGAGTCATGAAAGATATGAACTTACAATGTCCAAAATTGTAAAACGACTATATTTAGACATTGATTGCCCATCCCAATCTCCAGGGCATCGGTGTGGGAAATGTATAGGGGGATATTGCTAGAAGCCATCCCAAATAATGTACAATCCCATGGAACTTGGAATGACTGCAGATACAATTGTGGGGAAAGAGACAAGAGATCAAAAATTGGATTTGGAGAAGTCTCCACAACTGGTGTCTTC